GGGGGAACTCACTAAGCTTTGTGCTTACGGTTTTTAGTTTTGGTTTCAGGTACTTCGTGTCTAAAGGAAAGGAGCCGGCTTGATCGCAGCGCATCACACTATGGTTTTCCGCACATGAGATCTTTGGGATTACACTCTGATATTATTTTATGATAACACGTTTGATTATTTCTACTTTGGTTTTGACATGACATGATGTTACGGATGTTTTATCACACTGTTGGTTTTATAATGACATATTTTATAATGAAATTTTTGGCCTGTATTTTTGGGATGTTACAAAGTTACCCAGAACAACGGATGGTCATGATACCATATGGGTTATTGTTGACAGATTAACCAAATCCACCCATTTCCTACCATTAAAAGAAACAAATAAAATGGAGAAGTTAACAAGGACGTACTTAAAAGAAATAGTACGGTTGCACAGTGTGCCAATATCTATTATCTCTGACCGAGATAGTAGATTTACCTCATGGTTTTGGCAATCATTGCAAACATCCCTAGGAACAAATCTTGACATGAGTACAACATATAATCCTCAGACTGATGGGCAAAGTGAAAGAATAATTTAAACGTTGGAAGACATGTTAAGGGTATGTGTGATAGATTTCGGTAAAGCTTGGGATACCCATTTACCACTTGTTGAATTCTCCTACAACAACAACTATCACACTAGTATTAAAGTGGCACCCTTTGAAGCTCTCTATGGCCGTAAGTGTAGATCCCCTCTATGCTGGGTTGAAGTGGACGATACGTAACTAGCAAAGAACCAAATACATAATTGTACTTTAACCAATCCTGAGATCATTCTTGAAACCACATAAAAGATTGTCCAAATCCGGGAACGGTTGAAAATTTCTCAAGATAGACGGAAGAGTTATGCGAATAAACGAAGAAAACCCTTGGAATTTTAGGTTGGTGACCGTGTTCTATTGAAAGTCTCACCCTGGAAATGAATGAAACTTCTTGGTAAACGTAGTAAGTGAAGTACAAGATACATTGTACCATTCCAAATCATTGATAGAATCAGTCATGTTGCTTACAAACTCAATCTACCGTATGAACTCAGTAACATTCATCCTGTATTTCATGTCTCAAATCTCAAGAAGTGTTTGTCTGACGAGACTCTTGTTATTCCGCTCGAAGAAATCTAGATAAACGAGAGCCTCAATTTCATGGAACAGCCTGTAGAAATCCTGGACACGGAAGTGAAGAGAACTAAACAAAGTCATATCCCGATAGTGAAGGTTCGTTGGAATGCAAAACATGGACTTAAATTCACTTAGGAACGAAAAGATCAGATGAAACATAACTATCTACATCTCTTTCCCTAGTCTTTCCATAATGCTATAGTCTTAATTTCGGGACGAACTTCTCTCTAACGGGAGGATAATGTAACAACATGTTATTTCTACTTTATGTAATAAGTATCTATTAATAATGAGAGAAAATTTTGTATACTATATACGTTTACATACCGACCCTCAAAAATGAAAGGTTAATTAATTTTTTATTTAGGATGAATAAAGTGGTAGAAATCATGTCAAGGATTCCAAAAATATAAAGAACGCCCAATTCCGAGTTATAACGAAGAATTTATGACCTATCGAAAATCCACGAGAAAACCGGAAAAACATTATTTAATGTAAAAAGTAAATTTTCAATAAAATACTTTTATGCCTTAATCATCTAAATGAAAATTATAGTATACATTAAATTGAGAGTAACTATAAAAAGAACGTCTAAATCAGACTTCGTATGAAAAAGTTATGATTTTTCTATGTTTCGACATAGCAGTAGACAACCCGAAACTCGAAAATTAGTTTGAAGAACATTTGGCCAAAACAATCCAAACGAGAATCGGAGATCTTATCAAAAGAACTCCAACGGTAAAAAGACACACAAAAACGGACGTCGAATGAAGAAGTTACGAATTTTTAACAGACTTTTCCAGTCCCGGCCAGTTAAAAATATAACTTTAAAAATAAATCAAAATTAGCCAACCGAACATAAACGAAAGTTGTAGAGCATGATCTCCCCTACACGTGGATATAAAGAACGTCAAAAACGGAGCTCGTATGCGAAATTTACAAAATTTTGAAGTTGAAGAAATGTGAGTATGCCCAGCATAATTGAGTACGCCCAGCGTACTCAGAAGCAAGGTCTTGGATTGTCCACGTAGCCTCTTTCTTCGCAAGCGACAAGCATCTCGCCCAAAACAACGCGTCCGAAGCCAGCTGGCCACTATGCCCAGCGTACGAGAAGTTTACGCCCAATGTAATGGGACTAGCCTCGACGCGTGCTTCATAGCTTCACCACGTCCGAAGATCGGATAAGGTTGGAACTAGTAAGCCCCACATACAAGGCGTACGCCCAACATACTATGGTTTTTAGTAGTATGCCCAGCGTACACAAACATTACGCCCAACGTAATGAGGCTAAAACCCTCCTATAAATAGGATGCGAGGTCTTTGGGTTTTGTTTGGAATTTTCAAATACTCTCTCCACTCAAACACTCCCTTAAGAATTTCTAAACCCTGCGAAGTCTCGGGTACCTCCTTACCATCTGACGCAAACCTCAAAGTCCTGAAGATCTCAATTTTAAGCTGAAACTCTATCCGAGTGAAGCCGACTTTTCATCAAAAACTCTCAAGTTACGTCAAGAAAACTCTCTTCTAAGAAACGAAACTTTTCCCCAATCACCACCTATCAAGTGAGTTCGTACCCCCGTATTTACATAATTTTTACAGTTTTTAGCGGGGGGGGGGGGGGGGGGGGATACAAGTGAAACACAATAAAACTGTGTTAATATCATAAAAGTTTTCAAATATTTTTAATATTTTTAAAATGTTATAATAGATAAAAATTACATATTTATATATGTGTAAATTATATAATTTAGATTCAAAAGATTCAGAATATGTAATTTGACCACATTTCCTGTTCCTTGTTTGGTTGTAAGATTGGGGTAAAGTTATTTAATCGAATATCTAATTAATCACAATTATATAAACATTATACTTATATAAATATAAAATGGTCTACAAACTATTTGAAAATACATGGGTACAAACAAAGAATTTCATGAAATAATATTATTACAGATTCTTTTCGTAAAACAAACAACTAAACTATAATAGGTATAGTTTAGAAAACTTATTCATTGGTTTCAAGTTTCAAAGTTCATAACAATATACAAATCAGAAAACAAGCAGAGAACATTATCAGAAAACAAACATAATACTTTGCTAAGAAACACACATGTAAAACTATATTTTATATAGTTTACGAAACTTACTTTCGAGTATAATTATTACGAAGTAACTTTTTTATTCTACATGTAATCATTGATAGCACTTGTGAGACACGCTTCAAATACTTATTAAGTATAAAATAAAAGTCCTAAAAATTATAACCAGAATCTCCTTGTGTGAGAGTGTGACAATTGTGTATAGATTTATACGGACTGACAGTCCCACAACTAAGCTGTCTGCAACAGCTAGGCTGGCAGGCCTAGGGTGACAACTGTCGTACCATATTTCGACGCCTGAAGAACGTCGTGTTTTAGGCGATCCTTGGTCATCAAGCATTGTTATGATAACTCACAATTTGATATTGAATATAATGATTATTGTATGAATAAGTGATGCTTCACATAGTTTTATTAAATTATAAAACTATAATACAATATCTTACAAGTATAAACATGTTATATTATTTTAGTTCAGAGAAAACATATTTTTCATGGTTTTATGATAACTAAACTACATTTTACAAGTTGTTATTACAAGAATCATTATACATCTTGCTTCCAGCATAACATAGCTGAAAACATAGGATTTTCTGGGAAAAACATGTTCATTTTATCAATACACAAGAAAACAGATTTCAATTGCAAACATACTTATGAACTCACAACCTTAATTGTTAACACTTTTCAAAAGTCTACATGTATTCTCAGGGAAACAATGATACAAGTACAACCACAGCTTTCTAAGAAGACGAAGATTTATAAACTGGTGTCTTTTAAACTTGTACTTTTGACTTCATATACATTATACTTTGAACACAATTGTAAAACTTATAACTTTGTAATACAATGGTTGTTGTTATACTTTGATTACTATTATGCATTGTTATGATACTTGACATGAAGTCATCCACCCCTGAATGTTTCCGACGTTCTGATTTTGGGGTGTGACATCCAGTGACAGGAGTATTACCGGCAACAGAGGATATTACTTGGGACAAAGGTATTAGCGGCGACAAATATCTTTTGCGGTGACATCTTAAACAATAGCAAAAGAGCAGTACCGGTGACATGTATCCTCTGTTACTTTTACTAGCGACTAATGCAATCTTTAGCGATGCTTTTTTTTCGCAGCTAATGTCTCTTTTTACTAATTTCATTTTTAGGCTTTTCCTATTTTTTACTCTCTACAATTGATCCTTTTTACCTCTTTAATTTTTATTGTATGCAAATTTAGGCATCATCTAAAACTTCCATGAAAGGCTCCAAGCTACCTACACCTCCGGATCCTATATCTGCCAATGCTATGAAGAGTAACTATGAAAACGGAATCTTAGTCATTAAGAATATTATGACATCAAATATTAAGGAGAAAAAACGTCAAAATAAAGGAGTATATTAATTAAGAGAAACAAGTCGTAAATTATGTCGAAATATACTTGACTCCAAACTTCTTTAAACAAAAAATTACAAAGATGAGAAAACAACGAATTATTTCGATGTGCTTCTACTCATTTTTATGCCTTGAAGCTTTCTTTTAATTAAAAAAAAAAGACACTAGCTTTGTCACTTTCTTCTCCACCCTATCTCCCTATAGGATTAACCAAGCTACCTCTGTACATTTCACCATCACCCCTCGAGTTCCATTATTGACTTCTTAATTCAAGAACAGCATTCGATGTTTAAATTAATACGGGGTTCTTATGGGATCTAATGTGTTGATTTTTGCATCTGCATGGTCCCTTAATTAATCATCAAACTTATAAGGGAACCATGCGGTGGCATAGACTGAGTTATGACCCTTCCATGTGAGCACAATCATGTCTTCTTCGGTCTTCATTCCCCAACCACTAGCATGTTCATCTAGCAAGAATTTCACTTCATTAATCGAATCTTCACCAAATGGTACACTGAAAAACCCTAAATTCCGCATTCTTTGTGAAAATTTGGCTCCTGATTCAAGTCTTTCTATCCTTTGTCTACCTTCAAAGCCAATAATATTTTCGATTTTATGGCCAATATCGGCTTCATACTCCATTCTTTGGAAACTATCTTTTGGCAAGAAAGTTTCCAATGCATCAAATGGGATCCACAAGAAATTAAAGCATGTGGTAATTCTTGATGCTAAACTTGATGATCCTAGATCGGAATCTTCATCTACGATTGTTATGATACGAGGGTTCAATGTCTTCACTATCTCAAGGAATGAATCTTTTGAAGAAGCTATATCGGGCATGTAGCGTAGCCAATTTTGGCAATTAATCACTAACGCCTCATCATTTTGTACAAGATTTTCTTGGGTTAAAAGAAATTCATAGTTAAAGTTCAAGGAAGATTCTTCTATGGAAGGTGAAACATCGATCACGTTGAATTCAAAATGGAACGTTTCTAAAGTTGGCAAAATTTGTTAAACGTATACCTACTTCTTCTGTTAGTACATTAAGAAATGGTGGCACTAGTGGCCTCCATGAAGGGACTGATATGCGTAAGCTAGGAGGCCCTTCAGGCCTCTTAGCTAATGCATCGATTAGGGTTGGCCATTGCATACAATGAGTGATACTAAAGTCCAAAATATGAACTTTAGAAAAACCTTGTATAGCCTTAAAAATGGCACTATTTGATGCACAAAATCCAAACCTGTGCCAAGGGATGAGGTCAACGTACCCCCGCCAACTCAGTCACACTCATTAGTCTCCTCTGAAAGGTACTCCTTCCACCATTGAAATTCATTGGTGTAGGGCAAACCCTAGAAGCCCTAGAGATGAGTGCCCTTAAGAACCATGATGCAAGCCTTTGGTTAGGGTCTCCAGAGGATGAAACAACGTTGTTGAGGACCCACATGACTTGTTGAGCAGAATTGATGTCGCTGTTTTCAAGTGCGTTTGCACAGTGTAGGAGAAGCTTTTCGATACAGGCTCCATCTAGATTGCCTAGACAGCCTTTTAGAGCACCTGAGAGTGGGTTTTGGTGCGAGTTAAAAAGGGTTGAATTCGATAAGGAAATTGAATTGGGGTTTGATCGAAGTTCAGCTTTCATGACGATTTCGGAAAGAGATTGAGAACAATACATATATCTTTCAAATCAGATAATTGTTATGCTTCAAAGGTCCTTGGATATGGTAGAATTAAGGATTTGAGCATTTGATGGGAAGAAGAAGTTCAAACCTTAAGAAGAATTAAAGAGATCTTTTAGTACTCCAATCATGGAATATACAAGTGAAGAGAAGGCTATATATACACGAATATGCTGGGTGATACCCGGATGATAACAAAATTATTTGCACGTATGAAAATAGAAAAAACGTTATATAGAAACTCGACAAATATGATTAAACTGCATGCGTCTTGAATATATTTTAATAACAATAGAATGAAATCAACAACAATTAATAATAAGATCGAAAAGCAATTTTAGATAAAAAGCCTGCTAATAACTGTGTTTATTTGCCGTTGAAAAAGCTATTTGTATAAATTTTAGGCAATCCATACAAAATGTGTCATATTTTGTGTTTAAGATTTACGATTATATATTTATCATATATCAGTTTTGGTTTACCACAATATTTGTGTTCAGATGTATGAAAATGCATTTTCTATACTTCACAGTTTTTCAATAGTTATTTAACACATCTGTAAGAAAGAGATGGCACAAAGACCAAAATAGAGAGACGCAACGCCTAAAGATTCTCGAGGGACTACTCTACCTGAAATGATATAGTTAATAGTTTATTTGATGTGTACATATATATCATTTAAAAAATGTATAATCATAGATAAACTGTATCTAAATTATGTGTCAGGATCTTATAATAAGACGAAAGGAATTGTATCGACAATAGAATATAGATGCTCCGTGATGGATGGGGAAGGAAATTATTTTTTGTATCTATTGAACTCAAAAATGTATAAACAAAAGCGATATATATATATATATATATATATATATATATATATATATATATATATATATATATATATATATATATATATATATATATATATATATATATATATATATATATATAGGGTTAGTTTCATGTGAGACGATCTAATTTTGTGAGACCGTGAGATGTATTTTTTTATTAATTTTATTTTATTTTTATTTTTTTAGTTAATTGAAGTTCCGAAAATAATATTTAAAAAACGAATTTTTTGATTTTTCCATTTATTTTGCATTTTAAAATTATTTTTAGAATATGTACTGTGTAATATTCTATTTAGAATATTTCACGTATTTTTGAAAAAAAAAAATATGATTTTTTTTATAGTTAATTCAAGTTCCGAAAATAATATTTAAAAAAAAAATTTTTAGATTTTTCCATTTATTTTCCATTTTAAAATTATTTTTTACAATATATCAGTGTAATATTCTATTTAAAATATTTCAACCATTTTTAAAAAAAAAAAAAAAACCAGGATTTTTTTTTTATTTTTTAAAAAAAAAATTTTTAATTTTTTTTAGTTAATTCAAGTTTCGAAAATAATATTTAAAAAAAGAATTTTTGGATTTTTCCATTTATTTTGCATTTTAAAATTATTTTTAGATTTGCTCTCACGGTCTCACAAAATTAGAATGCTCTCAAATGAACCTGAACCTATATATATATATATATATATATATATATATATATATATATATATATATATATATATATATATACACACACACACACACACACACACACACACACGAAAGTGCCAATATTTTAATTGATTTGATAAAAAATTCATAAACTTTATTTTTTCTACAGTAAATTTCTAATTATCGGTAGTTTTTGACACGTTTACCTTTTTTTTTTCGGTAAGTCGGTAGTTAGGACTTTTTTGTAAAAAATATAAAGTTTAGAACTTTCTTTTCAAATCGTGAATTAAGATATTACTGTCAAAAAAATAATGTTTAGTATTTTCGTGTCAAAACGTTGAAAATATTAGAAATTTTGTGTATATATCTCTTTTTCTTTTTGTTAGAAATTTAATGATATGATACTCTTTAAGCATAAGAGTTATTGAAACATTCTTGAGTCAACTTGATCCTATTGAAGTCATTAACATTTGCTTCTTATTACATAGTTTTTTAGTCTCAACAAACCGGCATCGAAAAAATAGAGATAATCAAGAAAAAAAAAGAGTCAAGGTTGTGTTGGATTTTTGCTGCCTAAAAAATGGGAACTAAGAAACTGAAGAAAAAAAAAAAAACAAAATTGTCATTTGTACCCATTCTCCACATTCACACCTTTTTTATTTGGCATGTGTTGTTTGTGTTTATATAATTTGTCCTCACTTGTTAGTTCAAGATTTGGCGGTGAAGCAAGAAGAAAGTTTTACAACTCTTTTCACCCTCTCTCGCTCTCTATTTTGTATCTTTTTATCTTGATCGTGATTGTATTAGGTTAAAGATGATGATGATAAGAAAAATATTGGTGTTGTAGAAAAAGTCATAATTAAAAGTTCTTGGGTTACGAAAATACAATAAAGTCCTAATATTTTCAACTATTTGACCAAAAAGTCATAAACATTATCTTTTTGACAGTAAAGTCTTAATTCACAATTTGACAAGAAAGTCCTAAACTTTAATCATTTTGACAAAAAAGTCATAATTACCGGCTAACCGGAAAAAAAAAGTAAATGTGTCAAAAACTGCCGATAGTTAGGATTTTACTGTTAAAATTTTTTTTTGAAGACTTTCTTGTCAAATCGATAAAAATATTGGGATTTAGTATGTGTGTGTGGATATATATATATATATATATATATATATATATATAGAGAGAGAGAGAGAGAGAGAGAGGGAGAGAGAGAGAGAGAGGAATGATCATTTGAGAACTCAAAGTTTTTTGAGAACCCGAAAACTAAACAATAACCCTTAGATTAAAATAATATAGGGTTAGGATGCTTTATGGTGTTTTTGTAAATATATATATATATATATATATATTATATATATATATATATATATATATATATAGAGAGAGAGAGAGAGAGAGAGAGAGAAAGAAAGAAAGGAATGATCATTTGAGAACTCAAAGTTTTTTGAGAACCCGAAAACTAAGCAATAACGTTAGATTAAAATAATAGAGGGTTAGGATGCTTTATGGTGTTTTTGTAAATACATGAAAATAAAAATGGACTTGGGCATCTTATTGAAAAGAATCAGGGGTATCTTAGGGATAGTGTAATTGATTGCCCCTTATCGGATTTAATCACGTCAACTCTGCCCTTATCTCTCTCTTGCTCTCTTCATCCTGCCTCCCACAGTGAAAGAAAAGTGAAACCCCACCTTACACTTTGTGTTCTTGCATAAGAGATAAAGCTTTACCAATAGTGAAACCCTAACAGGGGAGCGTATACAGGGATTCTGATTTCTCATGAAGGGTTGCAGGGACAATGGTGGTGCTGCTGGTGGTTTTTGAGCGCAAAATAAGATAGTATATGATGATGTATTTGGTGCTCTGTTGAACTTTGCAGCCACAACTCTTCCTCATCGCCTTGAGGATTACACTAAGGTTTTCCAAGGCTTTCATGCCTCCTGAAGCTCTTCAATTCCTATTCTAGATCTTCTGTCGCCATGTAACGAGTCCGAGGATGTTTGGTTTGATGTGTAGAGCTCTAAGCTTGATTCTGAGGTTTTCGGAGGTTTCAACGTCTTTGATTTTGTAGTTTCTTATGAAGATTGTTTAAAATCTCGAAAGTTAAGGATGGTGATTCCTCGGATGATGTTTGGTATGTAGTAATTTTAATATTTATATTTACATCGTTTATATGTTCAATTGATTGCCTTCATTGACATGCTTTAATTCACATCATCAAAATACAGGTATCCAATTATCATTTCATGATTGTTGATATGCTACTTTGAATTGAATTTGTGATTTGTAGAAGTATTTTTGTAGATTCATCATATCAAAGACCTGTTCACAAAGAATTCTCTGATAAAGCACTAAACAAAACTATTGATCTTACATTGCTTTATAACTAGGCCTCTGTGCTTGATATGAGAGGTTTAATTGTAGAATTGGTGTTGATTCTTGGCTGTAGGTGGTAGGTGGTAGGGGCCGAGTTCGTTTTAAGCTTTATTATTTGACCTGGCTGTAGGTGGTAGGCTGTAGGTGGTAGGTGGTAGGGGCCGAGTTCATTTTTTTTGTACTTTGTTTCTAATGAATTGAACTTAGAATTCCATTCCTAGAAACCAATTTTAAAAGATTCCACCAATATGGAACAGACTTTCATGGCCATTATTGCTTTCATCAAAGGTACTCAATATTTTAATTTTTTTTCATTTTTATTAAAGACGAAAATGCTCTCATTACATATACTAAAATAAATAAATAAAATTAGTTTGATGCATTTACAATAAACAAAAAAATATTTAAATATAAATAAATATTTCATTTTTATTATTGAATTTAGTTCCACCCAACCAAAATTTCACATTCCAATTCCAATCTTGAATTTACATATCTACATTTGTAGTATTCCAATCATAATAGTTTTCCAATATTTAATTTACTGATTTACCACCCTTAAATTCACATGTAAATCACAGGTGAATCACATAAGAGTTACATGTGCTTCATATGTAAGTTACATATGAACCACATGTAATTCACAAGTACATCACAAGTGATTCACACATGAATAACATGTGATTTACATGTAAATCACAAGTGAATAACATATGAGTTAAATGTGATTCATATGTAATTTACATATGAATCACATGTAATTCACAAGTAAATCACAAATGATTCACATATGAGTCATATATGATTCACATATAAATCACATATAAATCAAAAACGAATCGCATGAGTTGCATGTGATTCATATGTAATTTATATATGAATCATATGTAATTGAAAAGTAATCATAAGTGATTCATATGTGAATTCACATGTAAATCACAAATGAATCACATATAAGTTACTAATCACATGTAATTCATAAGTAAATCACAAGTGATTCATATATGATTTACATGTGATTACAAATATAATTCACACGTAAATCACAAGTAAATTCATATGTGATTCATATATA